AATACAAGGATTTTAAGAAAAGTTAATATCTATAAATTTTTTTTTCTATAAAAAAATTATGCATATAGAAGATAAATAATTTTATTCTGAATCAAAAAGTAAATATATATCATTCTAAACAAATAAATATTAAATTTTTTTATTTTAAATTAATATTAAAAATTTTTGATGTAATTTTGATTTATAAATACATCTAATGCTGCCAGGATTGAAAAAAAATTTTTTGCAATTTCTTGTAATTTTTTTTTTGATTATATTATTTTTGTCTTAATGAAAATTAAGCTTTAATATGTATAAGAAACAAGATCTTTTATAAACTAAATATTTTGTATTAGTATAACATTTATTTTTCTGTTTAGTAAAATAGAATTAAGATTAAATAAATTAATTTTAACAGAACTAAATTAAATATTAAAAAAGAATATGAAAGAATAAAGAATAATATAAGTTAAAAAAAATAAAATTGAATTTATAAATATTTTTAATCATTTTTAAATATTAAATTTATCTCTGAAATAAGTAATTCTAATCAATATAGTTTAATACTTCTAATAGCAAATAATATATAAAAATTGACATCATAGATTTTATTATAAGTATATTTTTAAATAAAAATATAAAAATAATATAATGAATTTTAAGTGTGTTTTATATAAAATCCCATTATAGAATTTTAAAGCATTAAGAAGTTATTTAATTAAAAGTATCGAAAATATAAATAATAAACAGATGAAAAAAGTATAAGATTACTATGGAAGTATTTAATTGTATTGATTAAAATTTATTATTAACTATTATTTTGTATTTAAATTACATTATAATTTATACTATAAATATTATCAATATTTACATTGTATTATTTTTTATATAGGTGATACAAACTATTTCACATACTGCAACTCAACCACTTATTGTACAAACTATTCCAACTAGTACTGTTCAAAATTTTCAACCTGATGTATCCAGCACAGTACAAGATACAGTCTTTCGAGAAAGGAATACAACATATTTTAATACAGTGCCAGCAACTCTGCAAAATTTCTTACCACCTAATTTATCATATAATTTTTATAATATTTCTAATGTTACATATAAAGAATGATTTAATATAATATAATACAATCATGTTACTCAAATCAATTTTAAGAAATACATGTATAAGTTTGTTTAATCAATAAGTAACAGATATTCCTTTCTGATTTTTAATTATTTAAAATAATTTATACTTTATTTTAAAAATATAGAATTTCAAAGAATGTAAATAATTAATTATTTTTTTTAAAAATAAGATTAAGAAATAATTGTTTTATAATTGTTTCTTAATAATAATTAAGAAATAATTGTTTTATAAAAATTGTATATTTTCATTGAAATAGTTAATGACATAATCGCAAAGCAAAAATATTTTTCAATATTTTTATTTATTGATAATATGTTTCGGAAACGTCAAAGTATAATGATAAAGAACTTTTCTTTTTTATGATTAGAGTTGCTTAAACTATATATAAATATTACTTTATGAAGTTTATCTCGTAAGTTATACAAGATATTAATATTTAAATAAAAATAATTTTGACTCAATTCTAAAAGCCAAAAAATTGATATATCGTTTTAGATTTATTTATTAAATTTTAAACAATTGAAGTTTGACCAAGCAAAACAGAAATTGTTATCTTTATCCTAATTATCCTGCCTTTATTTCCATTTCGCTTCATTTAACTTGCTTAAACTTGTTTAAATTATTTATAACTTAATATATATATTTTAATCAATTTTTTATATTTCAACTTTTGTATTTGTTTTAATCTCTAGAATCATTAAAGATATGCGAAATAAAATTTTGTATATTATAAATAATTATCTTGATACAAAAATAAAATCATCTATATGGTGTCATATAAACAAAATAATGATGGAATTTTTACTCTTTTTATTAAAAAAATAATGTATAAATATTTACAAAATGCAATTTATTCATTTTTTTAACCTAAAATATATATTTTATTGTTAATCTTTATTTTATTTCTATTTTAAATAATATTCATAATGTAAGTTTTGGAAATTGTAATTTCGAAAAAAATTAAATTTTAATTTTTATATTTATTTTATATTATATTAATTTTAATATTTAATTTGTAATTTTTATCTTATAATTTTAATTAAAAATAATAATAAGAATAAGAATAATACATAAATATTTAAAAAAATATATTTATTTATAATTATTACTTATAAAATAAAATAATTTTAGTAAATATTTTTATGTAAGAATAAGATAGAATATAACGTTTTAATTTTTGTCATTTTTTATGATTTTTTATACATATTTACATGTTATTATCGTTAATAATTATTTAAAAATTATTCAGAAGCAAATACGTAATTTCATTTATGTACTATTTAGTACTTTTCGATGTAGTATCTATAATTTTAAATTATCTTTTATCTATAAATGGATATTTTAAATTATCTTTTATCACATTTTTTCTGTTATCATTACTTCAATTTAACTCGTGCATTCATGAATTTCTATATATGAACTCTATCTATAAGTATATTATGGTTTAAGATCTGAGAACAGTGCTATATTTAAAGATGGCTGCAATAAAGTTTGGCCCTCAGTTAAAAGAATTACGAATTCTTTTATGTCAAACATCAAAATCTAGTCAAGGTGTCAGGTAATAAAAATTAATTATATAAAATTTAGTATTTTTTATACATTTATGTATTAATTCTAATCAATGTATTATTTTAAATATAATTAAATATTTTGCATTTTAACCTATTATTATTTTTAGAGATTTTATTGAAAAACAATATGTATCTCTTAAAAAAAAGCAACCCACAATTTCCAATTTTAATTAGAGAATGTTCTTTAATAGAACCTGCTTTGTATGCACGATATGGTAAATTTTATAATAAATATTTTTAATATTGAGTATATATTAAAATTTAAAATTAATATTATTCATTTATTTATAAATAAATATATATTTTAGAATTTGGAGTAGAACGATCTTTTTCTCTACAAAATTTACAATCTGAAGAAATACTTCAAAGGATTCGAGAAATAGCAACTAGCAAACCAAAATAATATTTTTAATATTTAGTACACATATTGTAATTTATTTAGATATTAAATAAATTAGTGATATAAAATAGTTTACAAGTTGTCAAATGATATCTAATTTATTTTAATATTATTATGTATTTTATTATATATATTTATATATATATAAATATTTTATTTATAAACAAGATGTATATAAATATATATAATCTAAAAATATCAAATATATATCATACCTTATTATAATATATATATATACTTTATATCTTAATATCTTGTAGAGATGAATGCAATAAAAAAATATGATTGATGATCCATATTTATACATAGATAATTTTATCTTCTATATATTATTTGTCAAAATAAATAATAAAAAAAAGAAACAATGTCCATGGTTTATTTGCACAAGTAGAGTTTACTTGATTAATAAATTCGCTTATTAAATATTTATTAATATAGCAAAATATTTTAATAATTTTATAACTATATTTTAATAATACTATAATAAAAAGTTTTAGGCTATTATATGTTTTCTGAAAACATTAGTATTTAATATCAACTTGAATTTGTCAATTTTTTTAAACATTTGAATGTTATTTTAGAATACTAAAAAAAAAATTCAACGTATAATTAAATTAAGACATATTATCTATTCAAAAATAAAGACATAAAAATAAAATCTTTCAATATTATTCAATATAAAATGTTATTATATAATATGATATATTATTTATTATATAATATTATAAAAATGTGATTGAAATGAAGAACATTTACAAAATGTGTTTTTTTAAAAAATCATAAAATTACAGAAAAAATAGATGATTAATTTAATGATTAATTAATGATTAATTTATCTATTAATATTTTTAGATTAATGCATATATATATGTATATTTAGATCTATATCTTTTCATTTATAATAAAAAATTATAGAATTATAGAATATATAGATTTTTATATTATGATACACAATTATTTATTTTTATTAGGAATCCATGTACTTCATAATCACAATAATATATTGTATCTATTAATTATTTATACAAACTTATAACATATTATAGCATTCATTATTAGTTAAGTAAATAAATATTTTTTATTTCTTGGATTAATTTTTCAAATTTTTTTATATTAATTCTTTGATCAATCAAAAAAACTTTCAAAATAATATTATAATAATAGATAACAATTGATATCTGTTATAAATAAATTTGTTTTAAGAAAATCATTTTTTATTTTTAATATATATTTAATATTTACTTATTTACCAAAATAATTAAATTTTTTCAAAATAAATCTGTTATTTTTTTTATTTTCAGTAAAAAGATTTTTTATTCTTTTCTCTTTTTTATTTATCATATTTTAAAAAACAATCTATATCAATATGCAACATATTTTCATAGTATCTGAATTTTATATTTGAATATATATATTATATATATGATGAAAATATAACAATCCATATTTATATATATCTCCATTTGGGATTTTATTTAAAAATAGCATCATTATTTATTTATTTTGATGTTATTTATTTTGATATTCCAGATATAAGAAATTTGAATAGAATTTATTTTTATCATTAAAATATTAAAAATATTGCCATCATTGTAAAAAAAAACATTGTAAAAAATATTTTTATAAATATTAATGGGAATCAGATTTAATATATAAATGTAATTTCTCGATTAATTATATTTTTCTTAAACTAAATCTTTTTTTTAATATCTCATATACTCCAGATTCTGTTTATACATTAAATCAAAAAATATGATCCACAATCACAAAAAGTGATCGCCATTTGTTGCTGTTGCTATCATTGTATATCTATATAATTATATAACTTATAAAATCTAAAGTTTTGATTTTTAATATGTAACATTACACTCTTATTTGGAAATAGTAAAAAGATAAAATTACTTAAAAACATTAATCATGATCGTTACAATTGTCACATGAAAATGTTAACACACATGTTTTAATAGATGATAATAAAAATGTTATTATTTTCTTCCCAATTAACTTTTCCTCTTTTATTATTTCTAAGTAAAGGTATGACGTTACATATTAAAAGAACTTTATCTGATAAATCTAGTAGACAATATAACAATCATATAGTATCATTCTTTTCCCAATTAACTTTTCTCTTCTCTTATTCTCAATTAGAATATGACATCAAATTTTATAAATTTAAAATCTACATCTGAATCCTATTTATAATATTTTTTTGCATCATTTTTAATCATTCAGTATTTATATGAATTAGTAATAAAAAAGTTCGTCAATTATTAATTATGATAATATCTATTAATGTATATTTTAGCATATAATTTTTATATAGATGATTAACAAATATATAAACAACAGTATACTCGTTATACGAATCACAAATTTATTATCGAATTACATATTTACTAATTAAATTCTTATAACTTCATTTTTTGTACGAATTATATTTTCAGCAATCGAAAAATTATAATTTCTCTAATTTTACAATTTCTGTAATGTAATGCTGATGAATGAACTTACATGCATCTCTCTGCGATTAAACGATTTATACAACACTTAATTTTGGATATTTATTTTTGAAAATATTAAATAATAATTCAAATACGCGCAATATAATACAATTACATAAAAGAAAAAATTCGTTCAAAGAATTATTTTTAAATGAATGAAAATATATAAATTAAAGAAAAATATATATATAAAAGTTTTAAAAACTATTGTTTTAAGAAATATATATTTGTACTAAAAAAATTAACATGTAATAAAATATTTCAATAGTAAATATTTGGATCAATGAAATCCAAACTGATCGAGCTTTTGATTAATATGTATAAAGATATATAAAATATTAAAAAAAAAATCTGGATGAAATTTATATAAATCTTATTGATATAATAATCTTATTGCTTATATGTCTCAAATGTATTTTGGGAATATTTCTTGCAATCACGTGAAATCTTTTATAATTAAATTTGAATCTCCTTGATGGTTTTGATGATGTCAAAATTTTATTATTTATTAAAATGTGTTTTAATTTTTCAAAATAAAAAAAAAATCACAAGATGAATTAAATTTAATGAGACTGCAATGTAATTGTTATTTACTTTGTTCATTTGCTATTACTGAGATTCAAATATTACATAATTAAAAAAAAAAATAGTATTGCACTACTGATACATTAAAAGATTATTATGAAGAGAAAAATAAATTAAATTTAGATTATGTTGTTAGAATATATTAATGAAATTTATATAAAATCATACTAAACAATAAATCATAAACTTAAAACATAATAAAGTTGTCCATGTCTATTTTAAATAATAATATCTCATAATTGAAATTTTAATAACAAATATTATATCATAAATTTATAACTATATATCCATCAATATTTTTACATTTATCAACTAATAATTTTTTTTCTATTATTTTTGAAAATAATCGTTTATTTTTTTTATTTCAATTATATCTCATTCATATCATATTGATACATCACCTATCATACAAATTTTATACTATAAGAACATTTGATGTTTTTAAACTCTTAAATTTTTAGTATTTTTATAAAATATATTAAACCAATTTTCTTCCAATCATTCTTAACTTGATATTATTATCTTAATTTATAATAAAGAGAATTGGTATTATATTCGTATTTGTCTATATCATATATATTCATAAATATTTAACAGTTATTATAAAATTCATTGCCAATAACACCCAATAAATACTTTTGAGACATTATTTAACTTTTTCTGAATTAATCCAAATAGTAAACCTGATAGCAGTCTTAATTATTATAAAATCTTATACTTTAAAAATCTTTAACTTTATGTGCATATTGACATGAAAATAGTTTTTGTACAATAGCATAATATTATATATGTAAGCATATAAAATATGTTACATATATATATATATATATATATATTATAGATGTGAAATGTAATATTAAGTGAAAATGAAAACATAAAACATAAAAAATTACATTAAAAATTATGAATTATGTCAATATTAAAAAATTACAAAATATTTTCATTTTACATTAGAAATAAATTTATTTATACTTACAAGAGACTTAATATTCTAAATTTTCTAAAATTTCACGATACACAGATTATTTATGAACGATAAAAATATATTTGCTATTTATCAGTGTAACTGTTGATTATAAATCATCATTTGTCATTTCAGTGATGAATAGATTATTCTGAAATTTAAAAATTTAATATTTATTAATTTTATGTTATTTTAAATATTATACAATGTATATCATTTTGTAAATAATAGTTGCAATTAACATTTTTTTGAATAGGATCAAACTCAAATCTTAAATAATAAATTATTAATTTTAAACCATTTAAAGAATTTAGAGTAAAATATGAGAAATATCTAATTAATAATTTTATAAATAATCTTAATTGATGATTTAAATCTAATTAAGAAATTAGCTATGTGACATTTTCTTTTAATTATAATATTAAAATCAATGATTTTAAAATAAAAAATTATAATAAATTATATTATCAAAACAATTTATTAATAATAAAATATAATTTTTTTGAATTTGTAATTATTTTATTTATATTTATAAAATTTTTATTATTATTTTCCAAACTATTTATTTTAAAAATAATATTATTCTTCATCATTAATATAACTTTTTTAAATATAAAAAATATTAATATTTTAAAGAAATCTATTTTAACTTTTATGATTTATAACAAAGTATGTATTCATAATTTTAATATAAATATTATATATTTAATATTATACATAAATATATATAAAGTATTAATATGAGACATTGAGTATTATATGAGAGTACATCTTTGAAAAGTATAAAATTTCTAAAGATCAAATAAAAATATTTAATATATAAAAATATAATAATAAAATAAAAATATTGATTAAGATTTATTAAGTTATAAATTATATAAAAAATTAATATGCATTAAACATGTAAATGAGATTAATTTTTATATTTGTTTTGATTTAAAATCAAACAAAATATCACATAAATATATTAATATCCTGTGTTTAAGAAAGTTTTGTAAATCTAATTTTAATAATTTACTTAGAAAAAAAATAATATTATTGATTTATATATATAAATTTTAATTTAAATTCTGTCTTATTTAAAAAATTAATTGCAACATTAGTATGTTTTTTGTAACATACCTTATTATATCATATATGACATCTGGCAATGTCACTTGAATTGTCACACATCAATTTGTATATCACTGTCTTCAGCTTCACTTTCAGTACTTATCATAGCATCTTCTCCTACTAACAAGGCAGCAGGTAGATTTTGTGGTACATTATCAATATCTAATCTCGGAGTTGAATAAACATTTAATACTTGAATTGTTGTTGGAGAAGTTGAGAGGCATTGTGATACTGATCCTAAAGGATCTGAATTTAATGCATCACAATCCAAAGAAGTTGATAATTGTAATTGTAAGTTATGTAATTCAGGTATATGTGGTCGAATCTAAAATACAATATAAATTACATTGCATATCAAAAAAATTTGGAAAATTATAAAATTATAATTATAAATTTAATTTTATAAAAAAAGAAATTTAAAGATAAATATTGCAATTTCAAAATGTATATAGAAATAAATTATTATTACGATGATAATTTATAATTTATCATTTTGCAGAATATATATATGAGTTATCAATTATATTTATTTATCTTCTAACTCATATGTATTAATACATATATGTATTAATTTTTTACAAAGAGTTAATTATAATTCCATAAAATCTACCTTTAAACCATCTGCTGTATGAGGATTTCTACAACCTCTGCATCTACATTCAACACAAGGTTTACTTTCAACATAACAAGGACAACGTTGACCACAACATGTTAATTTCCCAGGTATTGCTGTAGCGTTACCACATCTACATCCTTTTCTTTTACTTCGAGCAGAACTTGACCTTGGTTTTTTAAAAGCTGATGACTGTTTGAAGTAAAATATTTTTTTACTTTTAACTATTATAAAAAATTTAAACAAAATGAAGATTATAGATTAATGCAGAAATAAGTAAAATATTTAATATGTAAACAAAAGTATAATATAATATAAAGTTGATAATATATCTGCATTAATCTTGGTATGGGACCTAGCAAAATATATATTCAAATTATTTAGATCTAGTAGTGTTAGTATTGAAAGATATTAAAAAATGTTAATTAAATATGATCTACGTTAAGTGTTATGCAAATCTAGAAATATGATTGTACCTTACAAGTAATATTAACGAGGATGGACATCATTTAGCATTTAATAAAAGTTATAGTGCAATGTAAACTTCCTGTAAGGCATAAGATTAACCGAATATCTATTGAAATTACTTTGCTGCCCTTTGAAGATTTTTTCTGAGAAGGGGTCCCATATTTAAGGTGGGAAGATGGAATACATTTTACCCCTCCTACAGAGCTGTGTGGACTTCCATCCATATCCTGTTGTCCTACTTCTGTATCATCTGCAGCTGCTGCTTTCCGTTTTATTGTTATTTTGTTACCAGATCCAGCATACATCACAGAATATATTGAAGACCCATTTGATACAGTACGTATGGCAGGAGATTCTATGCAATATATAAATAAATTTTATACAATAAAATTGGTTAATTATTTTTTTCTTTTTTCATTTATTAACATGATCAATATGCAAATAAATTATATAATATATGAATCACATATGTTATCCACCTCAAATAATTTCTGAAATATGTGTTTCATAAAAAAGTTTTAATATAAAAATTAAATAATTAAAAATGCTAATTTTATATTAAATTTAATATATTTTAAAACTAATAATTGGTTAAATGTTTATAAAAATATTATTCATGATATTATTACTTACCTTACAGTATTTATTTAAATATTTAAAATGATATTTATTAGCTTTCATATATTTATAAATAATAAGAACAGAAATTATCCACATTTATATCATACAATTTTGATTTTAATTTTTTTTTTTAATAATTACATAATATTTTATTAATAAGTATCACATATAAAATATATTTTAAATATTTATCATAATATAATAAATAATATTAATTATATAATTATTTATCATAATGATAAATAATAATACTATAAATAATTTTTGCAAATATCTTATTAATTATTAAATTTTAAAGAAATTAATCTTATAAAATTCATTCTTTTTTTAAATTTTTATATAAGACAATATAAATTCTATTTAAAAGATTCAAGATTTTGATATATTGCAAATTATTTAATAAATATTATATAGAGAAACTGTTTCAGCAATAATTCAAATTCAAATAATTTCTTATGAAGAAATTTCTATTATTTTATTATGAAACTTTTATAAGAAATTTTTATATATAATGTATTCTATATTATTTAAAATATATAAATTATGTAATTTATCCTCTATAAATAATAAATAAATAATATAAAAATAATTTTTAATTTTTAAAAAAAAATATATAAATATCCAAACATAATAAAAAGATAAATAATAAAAAATTAAATAAAATTTGCAATAAAAATTACAAAAATGTATTATTAAAATATATTAATTTCATAATTAATAATTTTTATATAAATTTATGTAAAAAAATATAATGTGCATCTTTTATTATTTTTTGCAGTAAAATAAAATTAGAATAAAAGTGTGAATGATTATAGTTTAATATAATATAATAAAATTAAATACTTGAAATATACTTAGTAAAAGCAGATATTAAATAACTTTTTCAAATCTTAATCTTATTAGCACAAATTTAACCAATTCTTTTTCCGATATTAAGAGATTTATGTATATTTATTAATACATATTATTTTAATAAAATATTTAAATTTTATATAATATCTTATTTTTTTATATGTATCTAATTATATGATTATTTTTATAATTGCAATTTTATTTCAATTATAATAATTATTTATCTATTAATAAATTTTATATATTTTGATTTTACAATTACATATTATAATGTTAGAAGCAAATTTTTTTACATTATTTTTTAAATTGATACATTTTATTTAAAAATAATCATTTATATTATTTATATTTACTTTTAATAGAAAATATGAAAAAAATTAAATTGTAAGTTTTTTTTAAATATTGTTGTTTATTAGTTATTATTAGTTAAGATATAATAATAATAAATAAATAATAATAATAATTATATATTTACAAAAAATTAATAATAGCTAGATAAAAATGAATTATGAAAAAAAATATATATATATTACATAATTTTTTTATAGAGTATTTCAAGTATTTCTTATATCTAAATATTCTCAATATATTTGATAGATATAAGAAAACAAATATTATGTAAACTTTAATCTTTTAAAGCCTTATTAAAAAAATTTTTAATAAAAATATGAAATATAAAAGAAATTATATATACATATAATAATATATTGTTATAATTAGTATCTATCATATATATATATAAATAAGAATATGTTGACAATCAATATAATTATTATCTATTATTATAATGTTCCAAAAATGATCATTTCTATTTATCCATAAATATAAGACTAGTAGCATAAGGCTAAGAAGTAGAAAATTTTATTCAATAGTTTATAAAATTCATTCTAATTATTGAATGAACATTAATTTATAATATCATTGTATTATATATATGTTATATATAATTTTTTTTTTTAATTCCCATAGATAAAAATCTATTTTAGAAGTTAAATGTCCCTTTATATTTTTATATTTGTATATTTTATATTTTATAATATTTTTATATTTTATATTATATTTTATATTGTATATTATTGTATATTTATTATATATTTATATTTAATTCATAAAATTTCAATTAATTTATGTTTACATAATATTTTTCTTTTCTTTTATATTTTTTTTTACTTATAAGATATAAATATATTACAGATTATTTAGATTGAAAAATTTGAAATTTGAACATTTATAAAATTTTAATATTAATTCATTTACGTACTATAAAAATATATAAAAAATAATAAAAGTAATAGAAAAATATAAGATATTAAAAAATTATTAAAAAATATTAAAAAATAATATATATAATAAAACATTATTTTTTTTATCTTAATATATACATGTATATTTTTAAATATTTTTAAATAAATTTTTTTTTAAATTATTTATTTCTTTTTTCTAATTCTAATTTTCTAATTATATATTAAAAAATATAATATGATCAATAAATTTATAGCTATAGTAAATATTATATACTATACCAGATATAGTTTGTGACACTGCTTCAGAATTTTGTATAGTATTTCCTTGAGTTTGAGTTGAGGTAGTACTTGTATAAACACATGGTAAAATACTATATGCAGACTTTGACAAGCCAGCAGTACTTTTAAATTCATCTTTAAACCCAGAACCCTCTTGTATAAGTTCCATGAGGCTACTAGCACCAATAGCTGATGCATTATTACCTGTTTTATTAGAGGACACTGAAAGTATTAAACTTCGATAAATGTTTGTATTTGTCAAATATTCACATAACTTTTTATAACACTGTAACAATATTCGTAATTGAACATTTTCAATATATTTGTCATAATCTTTGCACCAACCACACGAAGGTTTCAATTTCTTACGTCCACCTCTACACCCACGACACACATGATGTTGACAATTAGTTTCAGTTGGTGTATGAGGTTCAATTAACAAATTTGAACACACAGTACAACTTAAACTTTGTCGCAAATATGGAACTAGCCTATATAAATCTGTCCATGAATTTGGATCATCAGCATCCGCTTGTAAAACTAACCGACACGTTGATACGTAAAGACTTGTGGCATTCATTCTTTCTTGAACTCTGAAGAGTTCCACAAGCAATACGTATAGTTATATCGGAAAGTTAATTAAACAAGATAATAGAACATAATCACTACACACAAACAAAATATCCGCCATATTTAATTTTCTTTCATTTGTATTTACTATGATATTTACAGGGGGCTCTTGAATTACTTTAACTAAAATATTTTACTAGATGGGAAAGTCTCTTTAATGAAAAATTATTAAAATGATATCAACAAATTAACAATTAAATTATTACATGTGAAACTTTCAAAATGTGTTTTTAGCGGATATTTTTAATTATGCAAATTTAATATAGTTTGTAAAAAATATAAATTATTAATATGTATGTATTAAATTATATAAAATATTTTTATTTAATATAATATAAATAATATATTAATATATATATCATAAATATTTAAATTATTAATTAGTTAATTTTAAAATAAAATACTTTAAAATAGATATCATTTAATTATAATCTGTAGTAGATTATTTTATTATATGATTTCAAAAGTAAAACAAATAGTGATAGCATATCTTCTATCTTTATTATATATGATCATTCATATATCATATAGTTATCAAACTGTGAGAAAGGATATGTATGTAAATTATAATTATTTAATTCTTTAATATAAAATGTCCTAAAATACATATATTTTTGGAAGTATAACAGTAAACTATATGTGATAATGAATTATAAAAACTTTTAAAAATATTTTTCAAGGACTGGTACAAGGTATAGATATTTCTTACTAATAACAATTCTTAATATTTTCTGAATAGTATAAAATTTTATAAATTTAATTATAAATTTTTTCATTAAATTTATCAAAAATTTCCTTATTTAAAAGTAAATAGTATATGTTTAATAGTTTTTAGAATTTTTAAATCATTATTATTTACTAGAATTATAAATTGTCAATGTTCTAGGTTAAATTATTTACAAATGGCAGATAAAGCTATTATGAAGGTAAAACTAAATAAATTTATCTTTATCTTAGTAAAGATAAATTATCATAAATTTATCTTATATTTTACAATTCTATGATAATTGTTTTAAATAATGGTTACTTAAAATGTGTAGCAAATAGCAGAACAAAAACTTAAAGCATTTTCTATTGGCACAATGGGTAAAAGACCATTAAGTAAAAAAGAATTAGAAGAACAACGTAAAAAAGAACAAGAACAAGCTGCAGCTCAAGTATGTAATGTTTAATTTATTAATTTATTAATATTTAATTTATTTTTATTATCATAAACATTATAAATATTATGTATGTTAAATGTATAAATCCACATATATTTATGATATTATTTATGATATATATAGGCATTTGAAGAATTTGTAGCAACTTTTCAAGAAACGCCTAATAAAACAACTAGCAAGGTTTGGGTAAAAGCAGGAACATATGATGCAGGCAAACGACGTAAGTATCTATTTTAACTGTAACTAAATACTTATATCTATAATTAAATAATTTTTAATTATAAAATATATATATTATAACAATTAAAAATTTTCAAAATTAAATCAGTTATCAATCAAATAAAAAATATCACTGAAATATTTTTTTAAAAAACATGTATAAGTAATTTGTAATTTAAATTGAATCAATATCTTATTTTTATATAAAATGTGAATGAATTTATTTGATAGAGGAAGATACAAGAGAAAAAGGAAAACTTTATAAGCCACAATCAAAAATATCAGAGCTTGTTGATAGCAGATCATCAGCTGAACAAGCACAAGAATATGCAAGATTATTAGGATCTAATGAAAGAAAATTAGACAGATTAGGCAAAAAGAAAAAAGAAGGTGAAAAAAAGAAGAGTAATCTTGAATTATTCAAAGAGGAATTAAAAATGATACAAGAAGAACGAGAAGAAAGACATAAATATAAAGGTGTAGTGAAAAATGTTATTTCTACCCAATCAGAAGATCCAATGTTGGCAGCTTTAAAATGTGTTGAAGGTAATTTAATATTGATATATTTTATCATAATTTAATTATAATAACATTCATAAATTTTTTATAAATAAATATAATAAAAATTTACACTCTTTTATTTTATAATAAAAATTATAGTGTAAATAAATATTTCTTTCTTTATATTAATAATTTAAATTTGTTATTAAAATACATTAGGTTGTACTTCCTCATATCCTGATTCACGAAAAAATAATCTACATAACCTTATTGATGATCCACGTCTCCTAGCCCTGATTTATGAGGGTAAACAATACCCATTTCTAGAATTTCCTTTATGTGCTTTTTTAATGTAAAAATTGTATAAAAAATATAGAAACATTCTTTTTTGTAGATGGATCATTTGACAATGGAGATCCTAACACTACTAATCTATATTTAGGAAATTTAAATCCAAAGGTACAAGATCAAATTTAAATATAATTTTATAATTTTTATGTAGAATTCTTTTTATTCTTGTAAATAATAATAGATTACAGAACAACAATTGATGGAAATATTTGGCAAATATGGTCCATTAGCTAGTATTAAAATTATGTGGCCACGCAGTGATGAAGAAAAAGCCAGACAAAGAAATTGTGGGTTTGTTGCATTTATGAGTCGTAAAGACGGAGAACGAGCATTAAAAAATCTGAATGGTGAGAGAAATTAATCATATTATAAAACTTATACAGAATACTTTTTTTATCCTATTATCTATATTATATATTTAATATATAAATTTTATTTATATATTTAATATATAAAATTTTAACATATAAAAAACAAGAAAATATTATTTTTAATTTTGTTTTTTATACAAAAAGTTTTCCAAAATTCAAATTAAAATATTTTCTAAAAATATTTTCATTTGTCATGATTTCATATAATATGAGACTACAATTTTATTTATAATTTTTATTATATCATATTATATGAAAACATATTATTAAGACAAAATCAATAATGTGTAATGTGTATGAGAAATTAAAACATATAAAATTACAAATATATAATATTAATATATAATATATAAAATTAAAAATATAATATTATAACTATATTAAATATATAAAAATTAAGTAAATATTTTGAAAATTTTATAACATTTATTATTGGATATACAAAATTTTAAATCATATAATTTATTATGTTTTTGTATATTAATATCTTTGAATATTATTTAAATAAGTTAAATAAAAGTTGTTTATTTAAAGTTACTTAAATAAGTTAAATAAAAAAATATTAGAAATTGAATTTATTTCAATAATATAATAATTTATTTCAGTTTCATGTAATATTATTAATAATAATTATTTATAATATAACTTGAAAAACATTCATAGTTTTATTGTAAAAATAATAATAAAATATCTACTCTAATTATAATCTTATATATAAGAAAATAGTAAAATTTATTTTTTTTATTTTTCTTACAAATTTACTATTTACAAAAAAAATGTTAGATACAAATAATATTTTATGAACATTCTATATATATAACATTATAATATAAATTAGGTCGTGATATAATGCAGTATGAAATGAAATTGGGCTGGGGAAAAAGTGTTCCAATTCCACCTTACCCCATTTATATTCCACCTGCTTTAATGGAAATTACACAACCACCACCTCCATCTGGTCTTCCATTTAATGCTCAACCGCATCGCCGTGATAGACATAAGGTACATGAAGTTAAAATTTATGAAAATAATATATATAAAATATATAGAAATTAAAAAATTAAAAAATACAATAATTAGTATAAATATAGTATTAATAAAAGATTTATAATACTATTCAATTGCTATAAAGTCTATTTCTTTAAATATTTTAAAGTCATGTTTATATCTAATTTAATAATCTTATAAAGTTGAATCTTTAATTGTGTTGTTAATTATAATTATTTTTCATTTTGATCTTTTTCATATATTTTATTATTAAATGAATTAAGAATACTATATTATATAATTATTAATATTTATAAATATATCTTATTAATATTATATAAATGATAAATAATTACTATAATACATAATACATAATCACAATAATATTATATATTACATATATTATTATTATCATAATAGAAATATATAACAAATAGATATAAACTTCTATAATTTTATAAATTTGATTATAGATACCTCGTATTCGTAATCTTCAAACAGCAGATCCTCAGGAAAAAGAAAATTTTGAAAAGGTAATTTTCTTTATATTGATAAAAAAATTAAATTTTATGCAGAAATATATATTATAATTTCACAAATATTTTATTTAAAGTTGATATTAATATTTAAAATAATTCATATTAAACAAAATAATATTTAAAATGAAATACATTTTATTATTTTATTGAAATTAAAATTGAACTTTTAAAATAGAATAAAATATAATTTTTTTTTGTATATTATATATAGTTTAAAAAATTAATATAGAAAATATATTAATTGAATAAAAATTATCATTATTATTTGAAAATAATTTGAATGTTATTAAATATTCCATATATAAGATTATTATCATATTATATATTATATATATTATTTAAAAATAAAATTAAAAAACATGAAAGATTTCTCAATAATTTAATAAGCTGTTGTTGATGAAATTAATCAAATGCAATGATGAAATTAATCAAACAAATTAAAATATTTAAGAAAGTTATAGATATATATATTTTATTACTAATCTTAGAGATTATATTTTATTACTAATCTTACTAGAAGTATAAAGGCAATACATTTAAATTAAAAAATATTGACAACTGTAAAGACTTTATTTTTTATATTTATTTTAGAGTATGATTACTTTTATTTTTATTAATATTGAACTTTTAAAATAGAATATTAAAAAAATTTGAAAAAAAAAAAGATTTATTTTTTTTTCTAATTCTTATAAATATAATAATATATTCACAATTATATTATTGAATTTTTAATATTTACTAATTTTTTATTTTAAAGTTATATAATCAAAAAATTTATTTATAATTTTTATCTGTAATAATATCAAGAAACAATTGCATTCGTATATATTATTTTCCATATAAATATATTGCTTTTTTATGTTCTCAAAATTTATAAACATACAAAAATAATGCAATAATCAAATATATTATTACAGAATTCAAAAAATTGGAATTTAGATCATTTTTAATGTTATTTTCATTTTGTTTTTTCTATAAAAAAATATTAATTCATTATCTAATAGTAATAATAATATTTTCTTTTTTATTTATTCTTAATTTTTATTATTAGTTTAAAGATAAATAATTAATAATTATTTTATGATAATGTTTTATTAATTAAATATTATTACTTTTAAATATTGATCTCCATTAATATTTATCAATTTAACATTAATATAAATAAATATAAAAATATATAATATATATTATTTATTATATATATAAATAATTTATATATATACATAAATATTTTAAAATTTATTATAATTTATCTGTTACAAATTACATTATACTGAATTGATGATAATTATGCTTGGGATGAATCAATTTGGACTGAAATATTCGATTAACTGCTGCACTGTAATGAATATTATCATAGGTTTTACAAAATGCAGTTGTCAAAGTGGTTATTCCTACAGAAAGGTACATTTTCATTTTTATTAATTAAATATAAATGTTAAACATGTTGATTATTATTAGATAATATACTATACTTGGTTTATAAAAATTAAAAATAAAATTTTATTTTATAGGAATTTAGTTATGTTAATACATAGAATGGTAGAATTTGTAATTCGAGAAGGTCCTATGTTTGAAGCAATGATCATGAATAGAGAATTAAACAATCCAATGTTTAGGTTTGTATATATCATGTAATTATAAAATGTTTCTAATATATTATATTTAAATAATAATTTTTTAATTGTAGATTTTTATTTGAAAATTATTCTCCAGCACATATTTATTATCGATGGAAATTATATTCTATATTACAAGGAGATGGACAAAAAGAATGGCGCACTGAAGATTTTAGAATGTTTAAAGGTGGAAGTGTGTGGAGACCACCTCCTATTAATCCATGGACGCAAGGAATGCCTGATGAATTGATTGAAATGGAAGAAAGACAAGAACCTAGAAGAGGTAGTTTATCAAACAGGTATAAATAACTATTATATTTATATTATATTTTTATTAATCTTTTATTTATTAATATAAAAATTATTTTTATGACATTAAAACTGATTTACACTTATAGCCAACGAGATCGATTAGAAGATTTATTACGAAACATATCACCTGAAAGAATAAAAGTTGCAGAAGCAATGGTATTTTGTATAGAACATGCTGAAGCAGCAGAAGAAATTTGTGATTGTATTTCAGAATCATTATCAATATTACAAACTCCTGTTAATAAAAAAAATTGCAAGATTATATCTTATATCCGATATATTACATAACTGTGGTGTAAAAGTAAATAATGCTACAATTTATCGCAAAGCGTAAGTTAGATTAGATATAACAAACTTAAATAATAAAATTATGTGATATATTATTTATTATATATTTATTAACTATTAAATATATAATTAATATAAATTCCATTGATTTTTAAATATTTATTAATAAATGTATTTCTAATGCAGATTTGAAACACGACTTTTGGATATATTTAATGAAGTTCATCAAGCTTATAAACAATTTGATAGTAGATTAAAAGCAGAAGGATTTAAAGTTCGTGTAATGAGAATGTTTAGAGCATGGGAAGATTGGGCAGTTTATCCACGAGATTTTCTTGTTAAATTACAGAATACTTTCCTCGGGCTTGTTTTAGTAAATTTAATCCTTTTATAAAAGACATAGAAAAAAAATAAAAATAAAAGATAATGATAAAAAGTAATTTAATTTTTATAGGTAGATGAACCAGAACCTGAAAATGATGAAGATATTGATGGAGCGCCTTTATCAGATGTAGATGGAGATGGTACGGAAGATTTAGATGGAGTACCATTAGATGGTGCAGCTCTTCTTAAAGGTGCTATGAAACATGGTTTGACACCACAAACAACTAATTACGATGACATTGATGGTGTACCTAGTAAGAATATATATATTTAAATATATATATTTTACATATTTATTCTTAATCATTTTACAAAATCTATTAAATAGCATATTTATATATTTGATAGTTACAGTTAAATCCAACATGATACTCTATATTTATATATATATTTTTATATATTTATTGTTTTTTTTATAATATTATATATTATATGTTTTATTATTTTCAGTGGATGAAGATATCGATGGTGTTCCTATGGATGAAGATGATTCTTCAAATGTACAAAGTAAAGAAGATGATAAAAAACCATCGATTCCTGCAGGATTTGTACCATCTCGTTGGGAAACTGTTGATCCTGATCAGGTTAAGATAATTATTTTACAAGAAAAAATTACAATCTTTAAAGTTGAATTAGATTCAAGTTATAGTTATTAATGACAATAAAAAAAAATATAAATTCTAATAGTTTTAAACAAAAATAAATTAATTTCTTTAACAATATTATATGTATTTTCTTCTGTATTTTTCTTTGTTTTATAAAATAGTTCATTTTGTTATATTAGGTTGAAGCACAAGCCATGACGACTAGCAAATGGGAAGAATTAGGTCAAAATGATGATTCGAATTCTCAAGATACTAGTATGGATTCTAGGTATATAAATATTCATACTTATCTTTTCAACATTAATTAAATCAAAGAAATATATAAAATCTTTATATATTTCATTTTTTAACTTGAAATCTTAAAAATTGATAAAAATTGATAAAAATAATTATTAATTAGAATATTATTTAATTTGATAGTGGTAGGGATTATAATGAAGAAAGACGAAGTCGACTACGTGAAATTGAAGTTAAAATAATGCAATATCAAGATGAATTAGAAAGTGGTAGAAGAACATTAAAATCTGGTATGACAATTCAAGGACAAGTAGAACATTATAGAAAAAAACTCATAAGAAAGGTAAAATTTTCTTATTATAATAATTTTAAAATCTAAAAAAATTATATCATAAGCTATTTTTATTAGAGTGAAAGAGAGATGAAAGATGTAAAAAGTGAAGAACGTGATGATGAACGACGAAGAGAAAAAAAGCGAAGCACAACTCCAGAATCTCCAAGCCATTATAGAGATCGAAGACGAAATTCAACAAGCCCATCTTCTAAAAGTAATAGATATAGGTAAATATTTTTAATAATAATTATTATTTTTTAAGTATATAATTATATACATATATAATATTATATAATATTATTTTTTTAAACTCATGGATTTCAATATTTTAAAATAATATTCTTTATATCTCATTACAGACTTTGTTTTAAAGACGTTTGGTTACAAATATCAAATGTTTTAAATGTCTTATGTTAAAAATCATTTTTAACATTTTGGTACTATATTTTTATAGTATAATAAAATATAGTATCAATAGTAAAATTCTTCCACCTGCTTTTAAAGAAACGTATATATAAATAACAATAATTCTCAAAATGTTAAAAAAAGAGTTAAATCTTATTGTGCAGTAAATTGTTTAAATTACTGAATAGAATTATAATCTTAATATTATAAAAATTATAAATATATATTATTATTATATATATTATATATAATTTTTATTATATAATTATTATAATAACATAATAAAAATTATATAATAATTTTATGTAATAATTATATATAAATTATATATGTAATTATATATCATATTTATATAATATTATATTGTAAAAATAATTATTTATAAAACATCATAACATCGTTCGATTTATTTAATCATAAAAATGCCTTAGAAACGTCTTTAAAACATTCATAAAGATTATTAACATTCCATCTTTTGCAATAAAGTATTTCTTCCGATTTATATATATTTTAATGAAATTTTATGTTTATATTTGAATATTTTATATTTACATTATTATATTATATTATTAAGTAATTTTTATAATTTTATAATTTAAAATGATACTTCAGATACAAATTATAAAATTTTAAAATCATATAATAATATATTATATCATTAAATTTGTTTCATTATACTATTTTAATTTATTATATTATATATTATAAGAATATAAAATTAAACATGTTGTAATTTAAAAAAATATAAAATAATTAAAATTGAAAAAAAATACTCAATATTATTAACGTTAATTATTAACATTAATGTGTATTTACTTAAATATACTTAAATATTATTTTTATGAAATTATCAGAAATAACTCAAATATTACAATGACAATGAGTTTATAGATTATAATTTGTAAAATAATTAAAAAAACTAATAGATTATTATAAAATGTTAGTCTATAAATTTTAAACATAGATATTACAAAAAATACTATTTATTATTATAATATATTTACAAAATAAATTTCAGATCACGTAGTAGATCACCGCGAGGTAAACGTAGATCACGATCACCATATAAAAAACGGGTACCAGTGACACCATCACCACCACGTATTCGACGAACACCTTCGCCTTCCTTTTCATCCAGAGTATCTCGTAGATCGCCTACTAATGAAAGAAATGACAGAAAAAGAAGGGGTAGATCACCATCATTGTCACCACCACCTCCACCACGTACTTCAAAACATAGAGCTAATAGTCCTCCTTCTCCATCACCACGCAAATATAGGCATAAGCATAAATATTAAATTATTTTACATTATATTTTCTACATTATAAGAAATACATGTCAATAGAATTAAAAAACAAATAGCGTTATAAAAATAATGTTATTGTTATAAAAAATTAGTTACTGCAATACTAATTCAATGATACAAAATACTTTTATGTTTTTTAAATATTTAGATACTCTTTTTTTTCAATTTTCCTTAAATTAATTCACTTTATATGTATAATTGTTTATATATACAATGATATGTGACAAATACATGGAGAAATATACTGATTCTTAATTATAATAAAAAAATAATTCTATTTATATATATAATTTTGTTTGTATTATAATATAATTTGTATTATAATAATTTAATTATTAATTCATATGAATGAACATAAAATGTCTACAAAATGTGCAACATGTCACAAGAATTGACCTATTATAAAATTAAGATCATTTCAAACATGATCAAATATTTTTATTGTCTAAGTTTTAAATAATTGGAATGTAAATAAAACGTAAGGTTAGAAATTTATATAATTGTATATGTATATTCAACGTAAGACAAAACACGATAGGGGAATATGGAATGATTAATAGTGGGGGTACTAGTAGTAAGAATCGTAAACCAATGGCAAGGAAGTTGTATAATCTAGTCCAAAACTGAATTTAGAATATTATTGCCAAAATTATTTTCATTATGATTTGTGATCTCATTTCTACATTATAATTCTAGAAATTACTTTAATTACTTTAATTTGCATTCCCGTTATTTTATGAAATATTTGCTTTATGTAATATATATTTTCATGGCAATGATATAATAAAATAACTATAATATACAATAATACATATAATATAATAAATTAATTATTGAAACTGAAGCTATAAATTTAATTGCAAAACTTAAGGTGAGAATTAAACATTGCCGGATTTTTTTAATCTTTTTATTAATCTTTTAATAATTAATTCTAATAAACTATATATAATAATAAACTATAATATTATAAAAAAATAATATATATTAATAAATTCTAATATAAACATAGTATTAATATATAATTACTTTGTAATCATTTATTTATAATCATTCGAAGAAAATTAATATTCATTTATCAATCAAGTAATCTTTTTATTTTTGAATATAATCGATGATAAATAATTTATTTTTTATTAAATAATTAATTAAAATTAAACTCAAAATTTTTATTTTCTTTTATTTTTTTTTATTATTATGTACATTATCCTTAATAGCTATACAAAATTTCTTTAAATTCTTTTTTTTATTAATAATTTTCAAAATAATATTATAAAGGTAAAATTTTAGAAAATAATTTTACCTCATATATAATATAAGTTATCGTAATTAAAAAAAGCTATGTATCCATTACTTGCACCTGGTTCATAAACCTAAAAAATTTAATTAATATCGGCATCGAACACTTTACGAATATTACTTATTCGTAAAAGATTTTTAAATATTTATATGTATAATACAAAATTTAATTGATTATTTAATATATATTTTCTTTATCTAAGACTGTAAAAAAATTATTGTAAAATCCTCCATGCTCATATAATTTCATCTATACTTTCTTATATATTTATATGTATTATTCAGTTTCTATAAATATTTATTGTTTTAATTAATCATATTTAGTTTATTTTATATTAAAAGAAAATTATTATTATTATTATTTTATTATATAATAACAAACATTCAAAATTTAATTATCATATTAAATATAAATTGATTATACAGAAATAAATTCTGCAATTTTAATAAAACTAAAACTGTTTCTCACATTAAATATATATATATATATATATATATATACACAATATGTATTTATTTTTTATTGTTTTTTATTTGTTTTGTATTATTATTAG